GCACCAGGCCTGGCGCCTGGGGGATGGTCTCAGTCACAGTCTGGGCAGCAGGACTAGTGCTTTGGAGTATGGCATGGGAGAGGCCTCCATCCTGCCGCAGCCCAGATCCCTCTCATTCTGTCACCAACAGGTGTTTCCTTATCGGCCTCTGCTTATCACTCCATTGCCTCGCCCCGCCCTTGGGGCCTGGCAGTAGCTCTGGCCCTGGTATCAGTCCCAGATAGAGGATAAGGCAGAGTGTGGCTGGGAAGTTCCTGGGGACTCTGGGTGAGAGGGGATAGCCGGAAACCTGCCTGGGGAAAGCTGCATTGACAGGCTCCAGCCGGCTGGGCTGTGTCCTCCCAAAGCTGGAGTGGGGTGGGGGCGATGGGCTGGTCTGCCCTGCTCCCTGCTGCAGGTACCGGCTGTGTGCAGGGGACGTTGTTCCTTTATAAACAGAATGGGGGGAGGGTCAGAGATGGGCAGCGAGAGCAGAGAATGGTCTCTAGCAGAGAGAGAGTGGAAGCCTGGGGCCGCTGCCTTTGAGTGTAGCTGAATCAGGGTGGGTGCGATGAAATCACAGAAGAATGATGGGGAGGGGAAGGTGCAGCAGAAGCGTCTGCTCGCCCTGTCTCATAGCACAGGAACAAGGGAGAAAAGGAAATGCTTTCCCACACGTTGTACAGTTATCCTGTGGAACTCACTGCCACTGGATGGTGCTGTGGCCAAGAGCTCAGCAGGATTCAAGGAGGGATTGGACACTCATGTCGGTAACAGCGTCCAGTGTTACAAAATGAAATGCTATAAATGCCCCTGCTCCAGGATGCAGCCCAGCCTCTAGCGGGAGGCTTCCTCCAGGCAGGTTATCACAGCCTGACGCGGCGTGATGCTGACCCGGATGGAGGGTTGAGTCTGCAGCAGCCTGTGGCTGATGGAACGGGGTCTCCTAGCTCAGGCAGCAGCGACTCCTGCGCCCCCCCGGGGGCCGTGATACATAGACCTGCTGCTTGGTCCAGGATACTGGACAAGATGAGCCGGGCCCCGTCTGGCAGCCTCTACGCGCCTGCGTGTCGTACAGCAGCACCACGGGGCAGTGAGTGTTACAGAGCCACAGGGAAGGGCTCAGTCCCTGCCCCAGGGGGTTGAGTCTGACTGGCCAGACGAGTGAGAAGGGGAGACAGCAGTTCAGCAGGGTGGTCGGCTGGTGATCTGACAAAGCCGGTTAGTTCTGGGGCTTCCCCAGCCACCCCAGCAGGGCAGGAATGCGGCTGGGCCAGGGTGAGGGCTGCTTGGCTCACAACTGCGGGGCTTTCTTCCTTCCTCATTTCTGTCTAATGTTCTCCTCCCCTCCAGACTGGGTGTGACCGGGCAGGGCACCCCAAGGTTTTCTCTCCGGCAGTTCTCACCCGCCTGTCCCCTTTTTGCACTTTGCTGTTTCTGACCCTTTGAGCTCCCCCTTTCTTACCTGTTCTCGGTGCCTGTCCCTGACCTAGATACAGCCCCCTTCCCACTGGGCTGTGGCCCAGCCTCATTGCCTGCGTCCGGGGCTGCGGGGGCTCCAGGGCTTGTCTCTGGTGCTGCCCCCGCAGAGGAGGCCTGGTGCCACTGTTGTTGGAGCCCATGGAACTGTCCTTCTGCCCCAGGGAATGCTCCCAACAGCTTCTGGCTGTCCTCCCCTCCCCATGGCCAGTCTATCAGCTGGGCCCCAGCCCGGCTCACCCTCGCCACGGGAGACTTCAGCAGTGATGCTGTTGATTAGCTGGAATCGCTCAGGTCCAGCTGCTCCCCAGGCCGGGGAAGCTGCCGCAGAAGGAGTGTGATCCCCCAATTCCCCGACACATGCAGCCCCGTGTGTAATGCAGCTGAGCGCTGCCTCGCTCCCGGCCTGTCCTTGCCGTCCCAGCCTCGGGTCAGCCCCGTGCGTGGGCGTGCGGCTGCCTCGCTCCCGGCCTGTCCTCGCCATCCCAGCCTCGGGTCAGCCCCGTGCGTGGACGTGCGGCTGCCTCGCTCCCGGCCTGTCCTCGCCGTCCCAGCCTCGGGTCAGCCCCGTGCGTGGGCGTGCGGCTGCCCCACTGATGTACCCGTCCCGGCGCTGCCCCGGAGAGCGCTTTGGTTTAATGGCTCCAGGCACACAACACCAGTCACCCTCAGGGCCTTTACCCCTCGTTTCCAGCACTGTGGGCATGCGTCCCTGGTGCTGCTTGGTGCAGGGCTGTCCTCCGGTGGAGCCCTGTGCTCTGGGCCTTGCTGCATCGGCCCCATTGCTCCTCTTGCAGCGCCGCAGCCCAGCCGGCTCCTCGTGGTGCAGGGGGGATGCTCCGAGCCGTTTGCCTGGCAGGCTCTGAGCTGCGTGTACCTGGCACCTGTTTCCCCAGGACACCAGCCTACCCGTGGGAGTGTTCGTCTGGGAGCTGGAGAACGGCAGCGACGAGGCCGTGGACGTCTCCATCATGCTCACCCTGCGGAACGGCACGGGCACCAAGGAGGACAAGAGCGGGGGCCACTGGAACGAGCCCTTCAGCCTGGAGAAGGAGGGCGCGCGGGTCTCGGGAGTCCTGCTGCATCACTGCAGCCCCGTGAACCCCTACACCCTCGCCATCTCCGCCAGGGAGCAGGTAGAGGGCAGGCTGGGGAGGCTGCGTGTCTCAGTGCTGGGGGATGGGAGGCACCTGCGTCTGTCCCTGGTGGCAGAATTTGGGTTCTGGGGAGGTTTGTGCCCCTCAGTCTGCCCCTACCTGATCCCCGGTGACAGGGATCCCAGCTCCTGGCTCTCCAGCTACAGCCATGTCTGTGGGCAGGGTGGAGGGGCAGCTGCTGCAGGCCCCAGCCTTGGAGCTTAGGAGCCGGGCTTTGAACTCTGCTCTGCAGCGGCTGGGGAGCCAGTGAAGCATGATGGAGCTTGGCCATTGGGCGGCCCGCGTGCCGGCCCCAGTTCCAGGGAGGGCAGGAAGGTGGGTCGTAGGCTCTAAAGGGCTCTTGCTCCCTGACATCCCCTCTGTAGGCTGGGGGATGGGTAAGACCTGGGCCTGCAGGTCCCTGGGGTGCGGGGGGAGCTGGGATTGATGGTGGGTACAGAGCTGGGGCCAGTGGGTTACCAGGACAGGAGTGGCTCTCCCTGAGATCCAGTCCTGAACACTGCCAGGGGCCTGGGCTCAGTCAGCCAGCAGATGCTAACCCTGCTGCTAGAAACGAACGGCTCCCCCAGACTTACCGCGTCCTTCTCTTCCTCTGCTAGGCCGGCACAGGAGTGACCCACCTCACAGCGTTCAACCCCGCTGGCACTGGGCAGGCGGTGTGGCAAGACCTCCTTCAGGACGGCAAGCTGGGCTCCCCGGCAGGTGAGTGATGCACGGGCCAGGTAACTCTCTGAGCAGAGGGGTGCACAGCTCTGCCGTCAGCGAGGCAGGGAGCTGCCAGACTGTGTCTGACCCAAGGCCCACCTAGCTCTGTACTGTCCCTGCTTCAGAGGCAGGTGGGAGATCCCACAGTAGCTGCTGTGGGATAATCGGCCTCCTACAAAGAGCTCATCCTGCTCTCTGATAGTGAGAGAGTGGTTTAAACCCTGAAGCCGGGTAGTCTTGTCAGCCACAGAAATGTCCATCTTCTCTCTTTGTCTCCTGCTAAGTTCTTGGCCTCAACAACTTCCTGTGGCAGTGAGTTCAATAGGCTAATTGTGCACTGTGTGGACATGCATTTCCTTTGATCGGGTGTGAATTTTCCGACTTTGAATTTCATTGAATGTCCCCTTGTTCTTGTGTTCTGAGACAGGGGGAGCAGACACTCCGAAAAGGCATTAGAATATTCTCTAGCCGGTTCCTTGTGCCTCCGAAGGCACCTCCTTGCTAGTTGTTTAAATCACTGTAAGCATGAAAGGGTCAATTTTATGAATTTGTTGAGATGCGGGTCAGATTTTAAAGGTGACATCAAATAGACTAGATTTGCCAATTGTCTAAGTGTTCCAGCCAATCTCCGACTAGAATCTAATAGGCTCATCCCTTTGAACTGAGCCCAGGGAGCACTAGCGTGCTAATTTAGTGCTAGGTTCTTTTCAGGTCAACTTTTAGCATGAACAGTGTTAAATCAGGCACTTGGATATTCTCAACCAATCAACAGTTCACCCAGAAACACATCAGTATGTGATCAACAGTTCACCAGTCAAGGGAAGACACAACCAGCGTTCTAGAGATATACTGAATTTCCTCAAAGAAGGAAATCGGGTTAGTCTGGTATGATCTACCTTTGGTAACCCATGTTGCACGACATCCCCTTTTCCGTTTACCTCCAGGAATTTAATATAATTATTCTTTCCTTCACAATTTGTTCCAAAGTCTTGCATAGTGCTGAGGTCAGACCTCTGTGATTGTCCAGATCACCTTTTCCCTCTTTTTTAATTATAGGTACAGTGTTAGCTATTCTCCAGGCATACAGTGCTAACGCCAAATGGACAGATTTATTAAAAATCCTTGCTACTGAACAAGCAATCTCATAAGCCATCTCTTTCAGTATTCTGGGATGAAAATTATCTGGTCCCCCTGATTAGAGCACATTAAGTTCTTTGATTTTTTTCTTCCAGTTCAAATGTGGTAATTTCTATTTCTATACACTCCTTTCCATCAGCCATCATGCCTTCATGTTCCATATTATCTGAATTGAAAAATGAGGTAAAGTATTGGGATGGCAGGGCAGAGTTTGACAGCCCAGGAAGTCCTTTCCAATTTATGTCCCTAAAGTTCATGCTTCAGGGTGTAACAAAGCGGCTTGGCAGGACACTTCTGAGAGTATCAATTCAGGATAAATTGCTTAGAGCAGGGCAGTCACAGCTCAAGGCTGGGGGGCCCTTCACTACTGAGGTACACCAAACCAGCCAGACAGAGAAGACTTCGGTTTTACCCCACTGGCTAACTGAGTCATACAAGCAATTCCCTTAGACACTCCAGTTTCCCGGTATCACCACCAGTGCCACTCGTTATGGAGACGAATGGTTATGAAAACCAATACCCCAGTAAAAGAAAAAAGGTTCTCCTGATCCCAAAGGATCAAGCCCCAGACCCAGGTCAATAAACAAATCAGATCTTACCCACAAATCACGCTGTTGCCAACCCTTTAGAATCTAAAATCTAAAGGTTTATTCATAAAGGGAAAAAGATAGAGATGAGAGTTAGAATTGGTTAAATGGAATCAATTACATACAGTAATGGCAAAGTTCTTGGTTCAGGCTTGTTTCAGGCTTGATGAGATTACTGCTGATTTAAACCAATCAAGTCTCTGGAGTACAAACATCCCAGCTGGGATGGGTCGTTCAGTCCTTTGTTCAGAGGTTCAGTTTGTAGCAAGGTTCCTCCAGAGGTCAGCAGCAGGACTGAAGACAAAATGGAGAAGAAGCAGCTGCCTTTCATAGTCTCTTGCCATGCGGCCTGTGCTTCCTTTGTTTCAAACACAAGCTGCCCAGCACATGGCTTGGAAGCCTAAGGGCCTGGCTACACTTGCAGATGTAGAGCGCTGGGAGTTAAACCAGCCCTCGGAGACAGCAGCAGGGAAAACGCCTGTGACGGGTTGGGTCACAGAAACCCCTTTGGGAGCTGCCACCTGATGTGCTGAGACTACCCCTGAGCCTGTTTTCCTGGCCAGCTCGGGACTTCAGTGCCCTGCCTGGTTGTGCCAGACACGCTTGCCTGCTGCAAACCCAGACCCAGGTCTGAACCACGTCCCCCAAAAGCTGCAGGCTTAACTGAAAACAGCTTAAGACGTGACGTGCTCCTGTCTCCAGCACCCAGACACCCAGCTCCCAGTGGGATCCAAACCCCAAATAAACCTGTTTTACCCTGTATAAACTCATAAATTGTTTGCCCTCTATAACACTGATAGAGAGAGATGCACAGCTGTCTGCTCCCCCAGGTATTAATACATACTCTGGGTTAATTAATAAGCAAAAAGTGATTTTATTAAATATAAAAAGTAGGATTTAAGTGGTTCCAAGTAATAACAGACAGAACAAAGTAAGTTACCAAGCAAAATAAAATAAAACATGCAAGTCTAAGCCTAATATAGTAAGAAAACTGACGTTTCAATAGGCTTTTTTCACAGACTGGACACCTTCCTAGTCTGGGCCCAATCCTTTCCCCCGGTACAGTCCTTGTTCCAGCTCAGGTGGTAGCTAGGGGATTTCTTATGACTGTGGCCCACTTTGTTCTCTTCCACCCCCTTTTATAGCTTTGGCACAAGGTGGGAATCTTTTGTCTCTCTGGGTCCCCACCCCTCCTTCTAAATGGAAAAGCACCAGGTTTAAGATGGATTCCAGTACCAGGTGACATGGTCACATGTCCTGTGAGACCCCAGCCTCCATTCTTTCCGGCCTGACTCACAGGAAGGCCTGCCTGCAAACAGAGCCATCCACAGTCAGTTGTCCTGGTTAACGGGAGCCATCAAGATTCCAAACCACCATTAATGGCCGTGATAATTTGCATAATTACAATAGGCCCTCAGAGTTATATTTCATATTTCTAGTTTCAGATACAAGAGTGATACATTCATACAAATAGGATGACCACACTCAGTAGATTATAAGGTTTGTAATGATACCTTACAAAAGACCTTCTGCATGAAGCATATTCCAGTTACATTATATCCACACTTATTAGCACATTTTCATAACATCATATGGAGTGCACCGTCACAGCACTGCCGTGTGTTTACACTCTCAGTTGCAAGCGCAGTGCCGTGGCCACATTAGCAGCTCTTGCAATGCCACAGAGAGCACTGCATTGTGGTAGCTATCCCAGCATGCAAGTGGCTGCAACGTTCTTTTCAAATGGGGTGTGTGTGTGTGACAGGGAGTGTGTTGTGTGTATGTGGGGGGAGAGACTGTGTTTTGGGGGCAGAGAGTGTGTCAGCATGCTGTCTTGTAAGTTCAGATAGCAGCAGACACCCCCCCCCCCGCCCCTCACACACACTCGCCTGTCTCGACAGCAGCAGCATTCCACAGTAATGGTTTGCTTTGTCCCAGAGCTGATAAGCGGCCGGCTATCAGAAATGGAGCTTTGAAAGGGGATATCCGCATGCCTGCAGCCGAGTTCAAAACAATGATGAGAGTGGCCACTTGATATCAGGGGATTATGGGACATTTCCAGAGCCAATCACAGCGCAGTAATGCAACACGTCGTCCACACTGACACCCCGGCGTTTCAGCCAGGGCGCAGCAAGCTCTATGCTTCTCATGGAGGTGGATTACCAGGAGCGCTCCAGCTGCAGAGTCCAGGTGCTCTAAGTGCCTTGCCAGTGTGCACACCTCAGGAGTTAGGGCGCCCGGGACTGATTTAATGCACTCTAACTTGCAAGTGTAGCCAAGCCCTTACAGTTCTGTCCATAGGCATGTCCCTGCATACCTTGCTGAGTCACAAGGTGTATCTGCCTTCTCTCAATGGGTCAATTGTATTAGCTGATGGTCCTTAATGAGCCATCAAGCAGGCTAGGCAGAGCTGACGCCTAATTGTCTGGGGTGTCACCCAGAAGCATAGCATACATAGTTTGAAATACAGACATATACACAGATCTATAACTCATAATACAAAGGTGATACAAACATATAAACAAGATTATCATATCTGGCAAATTATAACATTTTTGCAGATCTCTTACATGGCATATCTGGCTGATTACTTCGTGGGTGTTACCACAGGAACCAACATTTGAAACAGGTATAGAGCCAACACGTATAACTTTAAATACAAAAATGATACATGCATCCAGCTAGCATAATCATAACCAGCAAATCATAACCTCCTCATAGACACCTTACTTGACCTCCTTTGTACAAGATTTGGTGCAACTATAGGACCTTGGTTGCAACAATGATCTATACAGTCACAGTTCATGTTAATAACGTCACACAGGCTTCTGCATGTCACCTGCGGGGGTCAGGAAGGAATTCCCCACCCCATGTAGTTGGGTGGAGTTTTTTTGGTTTTGTGCATTTTCCCCCTCCTTCCTCTGAAGCATCAGGGTTGGTCACGCTGGAGATGGGACACTGGACGGGTGGGCCAGGGCTCTGAGGTGGCACCGATCAGTCTCTCTCTCAGGGGCTTGGCTGGCTGGTTCTTGCTCACATGCTCAGGGTCTAGCTGGTTGCCACATGTTCCCAGGTCAGATTGGCAGGGACCATGGGGGGTTTCTATTTCCTCTGCAGTGTGTGGGTGCGGGTCCATCAGTTTCCTGCCTCGTGGGGGCCTTGGGCATGGTGCCTCTCGGCGCCTCCTGGCTTCTGCTTGTGGCATGTCACTGCCTGGTCTCCTGAGGGCTGCACGACTTTGGTCTCATTTCCGTTGTTGGGTTTAGTGGGCGGTGCTTGGTGGCCTGGGATATACTGCAGGTCAGACTAGAGATCTGGTGGACCCTTCTGGCTCTATGAATGCACCAATGTAGTCTTGCAAGCAGTTATCACAGACAAGGGTTGAGCTCAGTAGCTACATCAAAGAACAGTGCAAGTCTCCGAGATTGCTTTGACATTTACTTGTGATCATCCATCATTGGGCTTTTGGCACCGAATGCAACTGTCCCCTTCCAGTGTTACTCCAAGGAGTAAGGACGCCATTGTCGTTAAGGCACTTCTAAGAGTGTGGCCCCTGCTGTTGGAATGGATTGCTCCCAATGGGCAGTTTACAGTATCAAAAGCAGTTGCTTAAAGGTATAGTTCAGAACTCAGTTTGCTTGGACTTGCACAGGAGGGCATGCCTCAGCATTAGGTAACATCTAAAATACGGTTACGTGAGGTCTCACTACAGAGCATAGACTCACCAAGAGAACCCACAGCCATTGATGTTAAAGACCAGCAGGGGAAATACAAACTTTGGAATGAAATCTCACCACTAATTCTTCTCCCATTTGTGACGGGATCCCCGGGATGCAGCCTGGGACTGCGGGACCGCTGTGCCCCCTGAGCTCTCTCCAGCCTGGGCTGTCTCTCACAATGCCTTGCTAGTGACCAGCAGCAAACCCCTCCAGGCGCTGTGATCACTCAGCACAACCGCATGTGGAGCCCCTCACCCAGCTATATTGCATGAATGCTCCCAGAGCCACTCATGAATCACCCAGAGAAAGGCACCAGCCAAATCCCCCCGCAGCTCCCAGCACTGTACCCCAGGAATGTACCATCTTGTACTACTCAAGATGAGCGGCGCAAATTATTAATTGGTTCAGCACTTGATCAATGGAAAGTGGCTGTACATCAGCCTTTGCAACCCTGAGCAGATTTACCAACCACTTCAGGCAAACTCACTGGCAAAGATAAACAATTAAACAAATGTATTGACTACAAAAGATAGATTTTAAGTGATATTAAGTGATAGGCAAAAAGTCAGCGTTAGTTACCAAAATAAAGTAAAATATAAGCACGCAGTCTAAACTCTCAACCCTATTAGACTGGGCAACATCTAGATTAAGCAGTTTTTCCCACCCCACTGGATATTGCAGTTCATAGTACGCAGGTTTCTCCCTTGAAACCTGGGCCAGTCTCCTCTGTTGGAGTCTTCAGTCTTCTCAGTGTCCTTGTTGCTTGCAGCATAGGTGGGGGCAGGAGAAAAGGCCGAGCATGGGGCCCCCATGTCCTGTTTTATACCCTCAGTCCATGTGCTTGGAGAACACAAGTCCAGGCATGTCTGGGGCATTGCTGAGTCCCCAGGCGAGGTTGAGCAATTCCCCTGGTGTGGCCTCATGCAGGGGAGTCATTGCATTGTAGCTCCCTTGCTGGACAGTGGCTGGTGATGGTGGTTCGACACCTGCCCAGGCATTGGTTATCCTCCTGGTTATTGTCTTTGGAGAGTTAGTATCTGTCGCTTCCCAAACCCACAGCATGTTTTAGCGGCCACCATACAACACAATTCTCATAACTTCATAAGCATGAATGATACACATATTTAGATGGAACAGTGGGTTTCAGCAGATTATAACCTTTCCCTTGATACCGTACAAGGCCTGCTTTATATGCAGTAGCACAATTATATACAGATGAGGAATATGGGAGTTCCAGGGCACTCCCTTGGGCTGTAGAGTGTCACACCACTAACCCTGGAACCCCTCCACATGGCTGCTCTGGGTGTCCATTTTGCAGCTGCTTTGCGGGTTCATTCACCTCTTGGTCCTGTGACTCTGGATGAGGGGAGAGGCTGTCTCAGGGGTTCACTGAGCTCTGGGGGTCCCACATGGTGTCCTCAGTTTTATATACCCTGATTCCAGGGTTTGTTAGAGGGGCACTTTCTCATTTCTCATGGGCACTTGCCAACTGATTTCAGCTGTTGCTCTGCTGCCTCCATTGGTATCCAGTAGATGGCGCGAGTGTGTAACACATTTCTTCAGTGCTTTTCTTACCAAGGCTTTGTATGTTTGGTTCATTTCAAGGACTGTATTTCCGTATTAGCCCACATTGTTAATTAGAATGTCCTCCTTCCAAAGTTACTCCCCGTTTTATATCTTTCAATATTCCTTCGTCTTTGTGTCATACAATTCCTATTTCTTCTAGAGTGCCACAATTATTTACAATGAAAACCAACAAAGTCCCTTCTCTTCCAAATCTAATGCGCGTCCGTGTAGGCGTGCCTGGCTGTCCCTTCTTGTCAATCTCTGAGAGCGGCCACACCTCTTTGCTACAGTCCTTCATGTGTTTTTGATCGTATATAAGCATTTCACATGATTTAGGGCTTGCAGCAGAACAAGAGACACTATTCACGCATAGGGTATGTCTACACGGCACACTCCTTTTGGTGCTGTGTACGTCTACACTGCAGTTGCTCCTCCATCTGAGGAGGCATTGCAATTTCAAGCCCTTGTAGATAAAATGGTGTCAATTTACAGCTTTCCTCTGTTTCCCTCGGCGAAGCTTCCCGTCAGTCTGGGTTCAAGTTCAATGGTAAAAGTCTTTCTATTCTGGATGGTTTGTGGCAACCAGCAAAGGCTGCGTGGGCTGATCCAGCCTCATGTCAGTCACTCGCAACGAAAGCTGGTCAGTGAGGTCGGTTTCCCTATGAGGGTTTGTAGCGATTTCCTGCTCAGCCTCCTCCTGGGCTGATAGTAATGGCAGCAGCAAGACGCAGAACAAGAGAGAGCCCGTCACACTCCATGGCTTCTGACAAGGATGGGAGAAGAATGGGTGAGGGTTAGGGTTAGGTTGGGAAGGAAGTTATTCAGCCTCGCTTAGTATGAAACTGGCAAACTACCAAGCAGTCGTGTCTCGTTACCATTTCCTTTTCGGGGGGAAAAGTCTTGGCCAGGTCTTTGCCCGAGGGCTGACAAAGACAGGTGACTGTTAATACAGGAGGGCAGCGTGTAGCAGAGCATGGGCTAAGCGCTTCACTCGATGTTTGTGACTCAGTGGCAAGATCAGTTGCATCTGCAGTTCCTCTTCGCAGACATGCGGGGCTGAGATATTCTGCCCTTTTGCCAGAGACAAAACGTAAGATAGAAAATCCCCCAGGTGAAGGAGATGGACTTTTTAGTGACAAAACTAATGACGTTGTAGGAAAGATAAAGGATACAAGATCAACAGCAAGATCATTAGGTCTGTTTTAGTCTTTCAGGAACCAACATTTAGAAACATTACAAACAATTTTACTCCCATTATCTTTGTTGTCTTACCACACCCAAAGATGACAAGCATACCGACAACAACAACAAACCTGCAACTTCTCAGCAGCAGCAGAGAAAGTCTTTAAACCACTCATGGCATCAAGTCATTCTGCAATTTCCTCTTCTCTAGGAAATCGGAGGATTGAGATCTGCCAACCGCTCAATGATACAACTGTACTTCCCCTTTTTGAATGTCCGCTTTCTCACATCCTCCATGCATGTGTCGGACAATAGTGGGTTTAGAAATTACAGAAAAAGGTTTTACTATTCAATTCAGGGCCCTCCCGCTATCCAACACCCTCCCTCCCCACCTTTCTCTCCTCAGGGACTCCTCCCGTGAGACTATGATAAGAATGGAAATTCAGTCCCTTCTTGAAGTAGGGGCAGTCAAGGAGGTTCTCCGGGAGTACAAGAGTCTGGGGTTTTATTCAAGATGTTTCCTTATACTGAAAAAGGGTGGAGGACCCCATCAGATATTGGACCTAAGGAAGCTTAATGCATACGTCGGAAAGTTCCATTTCCGTATGGTAATCCTGGCATCTCTCATCCCCTCACTTTCAAGTCAAGTATCGGGGGAGCCGTGTTAATCTGTATCCACAAAAACAACGAGGAGTCCGCTGGCACCTTAAAGACTAACAGATTTATTTGAGCATAAGCTTTCGTGGGTAAAAAACCCACTTCTTCAGATGCATGGAGTGAAAATGACAGATACAGGCATAAATATATATTGCACATGAAGAGAAGGGAGTTACTTTACAAGTGAAGAACCAATGCTGAAGGCCAGTTTAGTCAGGGTGGATGTTGTCCACTCCCAATAATTGATGAAGAGGTGTCAACACCAAGAGAGGGAAAATTGCTTTTGTGGTTAGCCAGCCACTCCCAGTCTCTATTCAAGCCCAAATTGATGGTGTTACGTTTGCAAATGAATTGTAGCTCAGCAGTTTCTCTTTGAAGTCTGTTTTTGAAGTTTTTTTGTTGAAGGATGGCTACTTCTAAATCTGTTATTGAGTGTCTGGGGAGATTGAAGTGTTCTCCTATGGGTTTTTGAATGTTATGATTCCTGATGTCAGATTTGTGTCCATTTATTCTTTTGCATAGAGACTGTCCGGTTTGGCCAATGTACATGGCAGAGGGGCATTGCTGGCACATGATGCCATATATCACACTGGTAGATGTGCAGGTGAACGAGCCCCTGATGGCGTGGCTGATGTGGTTAGGTCCTATGATGGTGTCGCTAGAGTAGATATGCTAGAGTAGATAATCTTTCAAGTCAAGGTTGGTTTGCAGCCCTTGATGTAAAGGAGGTGTGTTTTCATAGTGTGAGGAGACCAAAACATTGCAAATACCTGCAGCTTGCTATTGGACAAGATCACTTCCAATACGAGG